TGGCCAAACCTTGGCCCTTCTGTGTTGTTTCATTTTGCTTAGTTTTTACAAGATCATTTTAATATAACCCTGTCCTCCATCATGTATAAGTTGGGTGAAACAGCAACTATGCTCAGGACAATGAAAACCTAATTTTTATTTTGCCAGGCTCAACTCAGTTTCCTTATAACCCTCTGACTATGCGGATGCTCAGCAGCACACCACCAACCCCGATTGCATGCGCCCCCTCTTCTGTGAACCAAGCAGCTCCTCACCAGCAGAACAGGATCTGGGAGCGAGAGCCGGCCCCACTGCTCTCAGCACAGTATGAGACGCTGTCGGACAGTGATGACTGAACTGCACAGAAAAGGCATCTGGATGGGGACAGGGTGTGGAGGACAGATCTCTAGTTTTGGGTGGTTTTATTTTCAATTGCAGGTCAAAAACCTGCCTTCCCATAATTTATGCCCAGAGACTTTTCAGGAGAGCCTGGACCACGGATGATGAAGAAATGATGGGGGAGGAAAACTGCCTTTGATACAGGCAGTTCATTGGATTATAATAGTGGAAGGTCGAAATATAGAATTTTTTAAAAGCGGACAATTCTTGTTCTTACATCTGTAAAGAAAACCATAATGTCTTTAAATCACTCTTCTGTAAATAGATGACCTTTTTGCAGTGTTTCCCCTTACTGTAGTATCTGGTGTACTTGTGTTCAAATCAGAGCATCAACTTTGGGGTAATTTTAAAAAATCTCATCTTTTTAACCCTTGCCTTCTAAACAACCTCATACAGCCCAGTACATAGTGTTGGCTGTCACGGGCATTGTACTTTTATCCTATTTTGTTTCCTCTAAATTCAGGTTCCCAGGTGATATTTAAAAGCTTGTGGAAATGTTTAGATTTTTAACACATGAAATCTGTACATTAACGTGTTAAGGTCAAAGGGTAGAAGAAACAAAATTCTGCCATATTGTAAATTTCCAATGCAGGCTTAAAAATTTTTTTTAATTAGCAGCACTTAAAAAAATATTACTGCATGGGTATGTTATACTTCAGTTTTTACCATTTTAAAAGGCTTATGTGAGGCATGCCTCACTGTTGCGCACACTGGTCATTTAACCGCGCCCGAGTGTTCTTTTGTTCTGCATCTGATGCAGTACAACAAAGCTTTCCTTTTGAAATAAATTTGACTGCCCAGCCCATAGGTGCAGTAGATTGTGATTTAAGGCTCTTGCTGTCTCAGGTTTCAAAGGAAAAACTTACAATTTTATCTAGTTTGATGTGTGTTACTGGCTGAGTTGGAAGAGATGATTTGTGTAGAACCTCGGTTTTAGGCTGCTTTGTGCTGTGTATCCTGAGCTCTCCTCTCTGTGCCAGTGCTTCCTCTGACTTTGACTCCCTGTGGGCAAGGGTTCACTGTTGAATGTTTCACTTCACTGACTCTCAAGGAGCAAATAATGTGAGAATGAATTTTAAACTGCTTATGGTACTAGAGGGTCAGTGCTAGCCTTCATTAATAATTGCTTTTTTAATTTTTATGATTTTTTTTCATACAACTTAGGCATCCTTCTCTAGCATACTGATACTAAGCAGTTTGGGGAGAATGCCACTGATTACAAAGGGGAGAAGTAGATGTCTCTCAGGATGGTAAAAATCAGCACTTTACAGACTTTTAAGTAGACCTCAACTTTTTAACAAAAGTACTCAAGCCTCTAAACTTTAGAGTCAAAGAAAACAGGTCTATGCTAACCACTGACTGCTTTCTTTGTAATGAAGTGTTTCATATGTGTGATCAAGACCTTCACATCACCCTGCAGCATGGTGTCTAATCTGTTTCTAGGTAAAGAACACCGGTTCCGTACTTTGCCCACGTAGTTAAAGCAGCGATAAAGACAGGCCATAAACTCCTGTTTGTCTGAAGTTAGCCTTCCCTCCTGTTACCACTCCTCTCTTGTATACTTGAGGTCCTCAAAATAAATTTTAGATCAGGTTTAGTGATCAGATTCCTATTACTTGGAAAGTTCGTTTCACTTTATTATAAATACATCCTACACATTTTAATGTGAGTGAAAAAAACAATAACAATGTTCTGCTTAACAGTGTTCTGCTGAATTTTTTTTTAGGTACGGACATCATTAATAATTTATATTGTGAACTGACCCAAAAGAGATGATGATGGTATTTTTCTAAGACCTTGAGGATCTTAAGAGATTCCAAGTCAGAATAGTTTTGAGAACATGACGGATCAGAGCCTAATTTGTTCCTTTTGCAGTTCCACTTGACCCTAGAGTGAGTAGCTGTTAATCACTCACCGGGCTTATCACAATGCCTGTGTTTCCTTCATTACCATCACTCAGAGATTTCAGGATTCTCACGTGCCTTACCTATGGAGTAAACCTGGGAGGGAGAGGGTCCACCTCAGCACTTAAAACGCAAGCACAGCACTGAGAGTGACTGGCCACGTGCTGAAGTTAGCTGTAAACCAAGGTGTGTGCCACTCTGCAGGCTGAGATTTCAGTTCTTAAGCTACATCCTTCCGCATGATTTCTCAGCACCCAGGACTAAATTAAGGTCTTCCTAATACTGTTTGTAGAAATAGTCTGACAGCCCAACTTCCAGTGCATGTTTATAACTGAAAGTTTCATAATGCTTTAATTTTGGTATGCTGAGTGATTCTATTTTTAAAATATGCCCTGAACACACTAGTGACATGATCAGAAAAGGAGTCAGTCCCCTGCTTTGCTACCTTGTTTACAATAGTGCAAATGAACTTGAATGAGAATACCAAAAGGAAGAGATTGTCTTTCTGAAAACTACTAGTTTTCCCAGCACCAGGGACATGAGCTGAATCATTGTGGAAGATCAAAAATTCTTAAATAAAACCTGAAGTGAAAAACCTAACTTTCAGTAACCCCTGCAATTGTGAAAAGGTAAAAATATTCTCAATGCAGAAGGTGAGTAGTTGACAATAGTTTTTATTAGTCACCAATAAATTAAGAATGGCTGCACTGAAACCTAGTCTGCTTTATAATAGTTTATCTCTCTGAGTTAAGACTTGATTAAAGGAATTAGCTGGCTGGTCAATAATAGATGAGCCTAAACAGAAAGTGGGAAGAAGCTTCCATCTGCAAAACATAAAATTCTAGTTTTAGTCAAATTTCTGAGGGTTTGGACCTTAGTATTTTATTTTTATTAACTCTTCAGTAAGTTACTTTTTATGAGAAACTCAAAGATTATAGCATACATACAATATTGTTGTAGAGTCTCTAGTTTATTATGAAAGGATTCTTCCAGTATATATACAGGAACCAAAAATATCAGATTATCATTCATAACCCCACTCCAAGGCATACCAATAACAACAGTGTCCCTTCATGGTACTTGGAAAAACTGCCTTTCCCTAGGGCCTAGGCAGGTAAGTGGCTCTTAGCAAGACCGCTAAGGTAAAAACTCCCATCAATGTATCGTGTATTACAGACAGTCCCTGACTTACAATGGTTCAACTTAACAGTTTTTTAACTTCACGATGTGCAAAAGCGATATGCACTCAGTAGAAACCTGCTGGGCTAAGCTATGATGTTCAGTAGGTTAGGTGTATTAAATACTTTTTAAAAAATCCTCAACTGAGGATATGTTTAGTGATTTTAAAGAGAGAGGAAGGGAGACAGGGAGAAAGAGAAACAGCGATGTAAAAGAGAAACAAGGATGGGTTGCCTCCTAAACGTTCCCCAAATGGGGGTTGAACCATCAACCTAGGTATGTGCTCTGACCAGGAATTGAAATCTGCAAACTTTTTGGTGCTGGGGCACATTATATGCGTTTTGACTTAGGATATTTTCAATTTACGATGGGTTTATCAGGGCATAACCCCATCACAGTTTGAGGAATATCTATATACACTTTATAGACTGAGGAAAAATAACATTCTTTCAACATGGCAATCTATTCATTTAAGATCATTTGACAAAATACTTTCTCCCACAGCCAGGAGCGAACCTCTTTTGTTTCCTGCTTTACAACTGAGGATACTGAGGCCCAAATTCAAAAGCCAGGACTAGGATCCAGGCCAGCGATGCCTCTGCTGGACCAGCACTACTAGGAGTGCCATAGGGCCTACCCTGCGCCGAAGGTCTGCGTGCAGATGACTGTTCAATGACCTGGGTGCAAAGGGAGTGGAGTGCTCAGATAGCAGTGACAAGAGGTTGTATCATTCCCTTTTCACAGCTGTAGATAACTAGATTCATACAGAAGCATAGGGTTCACTTCAGTTTATCATCAGATAAGGTGCTATATATACTTCCAAGTGCCAAATCCCACTTTGAAACTTGATGCTGGATACTGATGGCAAAAGCAAAATGTTACTTTTAACTCCTCCTCTAGGCATTAAGCCCCACACTGGGCTTTATGAAACAGATTGTAAGAAAAAAACCTCACCATAATCCTCCTTTTGCCATGAGACACGCAGCTGGTCTGCGAGATGATGTTAAAGGAAGAGGAAAGAGGGCAACAAATCAATGGACCAAAACCTTATGTGTGAATTACACGCCCACCCCGGGAAACTGACCCATCTTACTCTATACTTAGAGCAGCATGGACAGCACCTAAATACACTACAACTAAAACATCACTTGACCTCCTTAGAAGTCAGAATCAGGAGTGAAAGTTGCTTTTCCTTTAAAAAGCAAAAGTGGCAGTGTTTAACTTGCCCTTCACCGAGGCTAAGTTTGGAAACTTGAATATCAAGGACAAATGATTTAAGCCAGCAATTGTCAACCTTTTTCAGATTATGGCACATAAACTAATGACTAAAATTCTGCCGCACACCAAAAAAAATTTTTTTTTTTGCCCACCTGGCAAAAAAAAGGTATAATTTAGATTCATTCACACTGGACGGCTATTTTTGTGTTGGCTGTTGTCATTTTTTTATTTGACAATCTAAGGGAAAAGAGATCAGTGCCCTGACTACTCAGGTATTACATGTTTTAAAAATGCTTGCAGCACACCGGCTGAAAATCGCTCATTTAAACCATTGATTTGGGTGCCACTGAGACTGGAATTATACGCTGTTACTGGATATTTCCTACAACAAAAAGGGATTTAGAGCTTGATAAAATTAAGTCACAGGTCTACTTTTTCTGGACAGCTCAGCCAGTTCTTCCCTGATGTGCTGTATAGAAACCTCATCTCTTTTCAGCTTTGCTTGCTTCAGCGCTTCCTGGTAGACCTCTTTTGCTTGTGCATATCGTTCTAAAATAACCCAGAGAGAAGGGAGAATAAGAAAAAAATGTGTTTCCAAAGTGATTCTGAAGAGAGAGCACTAGTGATGACACAGGCCTAATTTATCGTGTGCTTATTAAGTTACAGGCCGATGCTGCCTCATTTCATCCCCACGGGACAGGCTGGCTCAAAGAGGCTGCAGCCGGCACAGGTGTACAGGACTCAGTGCGCGCTGTGGGACTCCTGGCTGCCCCGTGCACCCCTGGGGCCCTAACGCCACTGGCTAAGGACTTCACTAGTGGGGAAAAGGACCTGTCATCCAGGCCTCTGGAAATTACAGTGAGGCTGAGTAACACGGCACAGTAAGTCCGTCTGACCAGCTTCACAAGCACACTGAGGAATAAGTCAGGTTGTACCTGTGAACACATTTAGAAATCTGTAAAGCACTCCAGAAATGAGGTACTGTCACTGCAAAGTTTTCTCTACGCTGATGTGGTTCAGCAAGCTAGTGCAGGAATATGGAAGTTACATGAATTGAGCACAATGGTATTTCAGCCAAACACATCCTTGTATTATTCAGCCAGCCTTTTAACTGTGGGGCTTCCTCACTGCCCCTTGCGACCCCTCAACACCATTTCACAGATTTATAAATCCAGTACCACCCCTCCCCACCTAAAACAAGTCAGTCAAGACGTCATAGCTCCCTACCTCTGTGCATCAGAACTGCAGCCAGATTACTGAGCACCCTGTGCAGCTCAGGATGTTCTGTTTGTCTTGCCAGATCTGACGCCCTCTGCACATAACCACAGGCCTCATCAAAGTGGCCTTGTGCATCCAGGGTGGTAGCCAGGTCATTCATTAGCACAATGGTCTATACAAAGAAGAAAAACAGGCAGCTTTTTCTATTAAAACGAAACACCTACACAGATTGAAAGTTAATTTGGAGTTCGATAAATTTTAAATATATACTTAAGATTTCATCTTTCCTAGCATTCCACAAAAGGGGAGGGGCATCAGCCACTAACAAATGTGTGTCTTTATCATTCACCGTATAATGAGCAGCATTAGTTCAACCCTCTGGAAAATGATACAGATCTAGGAACTAGGGAACAGGATGAATATAATTTATTACTATAACTATCAGAAACACAAATTAAAAATAACACCAAAAATAAGCTATCCCATTTAAGGTTCAGCAATCTTTTTATTTAATTGACTAATTATAGAAACATCGGTTTGTTGTTCCACTTATTTATGCATTCACTGGTTGATTCTTCTATGTGCCATGAGTGGGGACTGAACCCACACCTTGGCATATTGGGACGATATGCCAACTGAGCTATTGGGGCCCCAGGGCAGGTTCAGCAATCTTAAACAGCCAGTCCCTCGACTGTAGTATGATGTCATTCTACTGGTGACCCTGAGACTCATCAAGAAGAGGAAATATCCACTTTAGGAAGATTCCCATTATGAGTTTTTAAATGGTACTGAGAGAGGCAGGTCCTTCCTCCTCCATTAAGGGGACTCTATAAAGTCCTAACTCCCTTTCCTGAAGATAATTCATAGCCCAATAATTTGCCCTGCCCATGTACCCCCACCTTGAGATATGTTCAGCCCAGTTAAAAATTTTGTGTCCATTGTTGGCGGTCAGTAGTAAACATTCACAAAGTGATCCACTTGTTACCTATACAAAGTTAACTTAATAGAGGAGACACACAAAGAGATGATTCCAAATCAATGTATTCAGTGTTCTAACAGAAAGCTTTGCACACTGTGCTTAAATTCTGTCAGTCATATTTAATTTTTGTTGATGCAGTCCCTCCTTCCTTCTTTTCCCCCCACCCCGTTTCCTGTCATTTTACCTGTGGGGTGGGAGAGACAAGGGTCTTCAGGTGTTAACTATTCCACATCAGACTCAATACTGTGCTGTGTACTCTGAGGCCCCAGAAGCACTTGGGTGCCTGGCTAGATCTGCCTTTTAGAAAGTTGCTCTGCTGTGTGAACCAACAGTCACTCAAAATGTTCTGCGCAGACCCATTAACTGATCAGCAGTCTCAACTCCTTTTTGAAACAAGTAGTTGGGGGCCAGGGAGTGGTGGTAGGAAATGAATGGACTGGGGCATGAGAAGGAGAGTATCCCAAGGACCACCTGCCAATTATGTTCCCAACGAGTGTGGCATTTCACACCCAGAAATTCTGAAACTCTGTTTTCCTGTCTTACCTGTGGGTGTCTTTCTCCCAGTATTTCCTCAGAAATATGCAAAGCTTTTTCATACATCCTTTGTGCCTGTGATGGATGATTGGAGAACAGAAGGTAGCGAGCGTAAGCATCTAAGCACATGCCAAGGAGGAGGTGGGTATTGGTTTTCTCTTCCACTAAGGAGGAAATAAGAGCATTGCTGGGATATAACAAGTACAATATAGAAAGTGAGTCAGAGAACTGGCCAACCTACCCTAATCAATTTCTTCTTACCAAGACCCATAAATATTTAACAGTACAGGACTCACTTAATATTTCATGTCACTTAAGTACCCCTGGCCTGACAATTCAGGTAGATTAACATTTAAATTGTTTCCTGAATGCAACTTCAGAGAGAGAGAGTGTGTGTGTGTGTGAGAGTGTGAGAGTGAGAGTGTGTGTGTGTGTGTGTGTGTGTGTATGCAGACATAGGGTTCCCCACACCAACAAGCAATTCTCAGAAATCAGCAGAGTATCCAAGAATTTAACTCAATTCTGACACTACCTACCCAGAGATAGCACTCCCCACTCCCCAACTTCAGACACTAGTCACAAGCCCAGGCTGTAACCTGTGCTTCTACAGAGTAGCTACAAATTAGAGATTTCTAACTACCCACCTCCAATTGAAGATGCCAATTGCAAGTACAGGTTGTTACCTGTACTTCTGACTGGCTATAAAATCAGGTTCAGAGGACTCCCTCCTTGGGTTCGATTAATTTTCTAGAGCAGCTCACAGAACCAAGAGAAACATTTTACTCACTAGATCACTGGAATATTATAAAAGGATATAACTCAGGCACAACCAGAAGAAGGAGAAACACTGGGCAAGGCATGTAGAAAGGGCTGTGGAGCTTCCATGCCCTCTCTAGGTGCACCACTGTCCTAGCACCTCCACAAGGTCAACCCAGAAGTGCTACAAACTGCGTCCTGAGGTTTTATGGAGGCTTCATTCCATAGGCATGATATTAAATCACTGAGCACTGGCAACTGGTTCAACCTCCAGCCCTACTTCCCTTCCTGGAGGTCAGGGGGTGGGAATGAAAATTCCAACCCTCTAATCACGTGACTAGGCAACCAGCACCCCTCCACCTGTCCTAAGGTGCTTCCAAAAGTTGCCTCATTGACATCACAAAAGACACCGTCCTCACTCTCAACACTTATGAAATTCCAAGGGTTTGGAAGCTGTGAGCCAGGAACTGGACAAACACCACATAAATCTGTATCAGAAGTATATTTTGGTCATCTGGATGACCAAATACATATTTCTTATAAATCACAACATAAAACATCCAATTAAATGGCTAACTCCCACTTTTTAAATAAGATAGAGTCCACACACTGATTATATTCCACACACAAGCTGTGGAATATTATTTTTAGTTTTGAACTAATATTTAGCAGATACAGTGAAGATAAAACTCGAAGTAGAATGAGTTAACAAGGTTGAGGGCCAGTGAAAAGTTTTAAGATGCAAAGAAAGCAATGTAAGAAACCAGAGGACATTAGAATCCTGAAGTGGAAACTCACAAGCCAAATTTAAAGAACCAATTTAAAGATCCATTTTTTGAAGACAAACAAAGGCTGCAATAATATAGCACTTCTTGACACATCAAAGAACTGACTACACAGTGTCTGGAAAAAAACACACCAAATGCCACACAGATTTGGAGAACACAGATCTAGAGAACAGTTTTGTCTTAACATAAAAGAATCAGCAGACAATAAAAAGGGGGCCTCACCCTTAAGAGTTTTAGATACTTAAATAATCCCAGACTATAAATCAAGTCAGTTTAAATTAATTACTTCTATGTCAAGTATGCTCCACCCAGGGCCTTGCACTTGTTCCTCCTCTGCCTGTTCTCTTCTTCCCTCAGAGACCGCCAGCTGGTTGTTCCTTCTCGTTCTTCAGATTTCTTACCAATCAGGTCTTTCCTGACCCCTCTATGAAACAGCAGACTCGCCTCATATGACATCTATGTAGCACTTCTTCATCTTTGGACATACCAATTTACAGGATAGTGTTTGTTATCTAGGAGGCAGGAAGTGTTTTAATAGCTGTATCTCAGTGCCTAATGTGTCTGGCATGTAACAGGCATTCAGTTAAGTACTTCTTGACTGACTGGTTGAATGAATGGACAAATAAAAAATTAAAAGCATAAAGGTACTGAACTAAATATGGGAAAGATATAATAAAACTAAAAACTAATGTTAATCATAGAATTAACACTGGCACTCCATCGATCTATGAAAACTCAATATAGAGGTGTCACTGCAGCTCAGTAAGGAAAAGAAAGACTGACTACGCAGTCCTGAGCTAAAGCCCGTCCACGGGGAGGAAAAAGTTATACAGCCACCTCATACCACATTAGAAAATAAATTCTAGGTAAACAGAACACTAAATGTAAAGCCCAGTATTTAGAAGAGATTGTCTTTCTGACCTTAGAAGAGTGAAGGATTTTTTATTAAAGACACAAAAAGCACAAACTATAAAGGAAAATATCAAAAGATTCTACTATAGGCCCTGGCTGGGCAGTTAAATGGTTAGAGCGTTGTCCCGATATGCCAAGGTTGCAGGTTCAATCCCTGGTCAGGGCACATGTAAGAATCAACCAATGATGCATAAGTAAGTGGAACAACTCTCTCTCCCCTCTCCCGCTCTCTAAAATCACTCTAAAAAAAGATTCTATTTCAAATTTTAATATCTATGTCAAACGCCACATGTGAAAAGGCAAGGCCACAAAGAGCTTGTAACCTACAAAACATAACATGACACATACATAAGAAATGCTCACAAATCATTAAGAAAAATACAACCCTCCCTGTCTGGGTGGCTCAGCTGAATCAAGCGTCACCCTGTACACCAAAAGGTGGTGGATTCGATTCCCAGGCAGGGTGTGTACGGGAGGTGGCCTGCAGATGTTTCTCTCACAACAATGTCTCTCTCCCCCTTCCTCCCTCCTTAAAATCAATAAACATGTCCTTGGGTGAGGATCGAAAATGAAAGACAACCCTTTAAAAAATAAGCTAAAGGTACAGAGGCAATTTTCACAGCGGGAAATCTGAGTGGTGAATAAATACATGAAAGGGTATTCTGTATCTCACTAGTAATCAGAGAAACACACTGAAGCCACAATAAAATTCCCTATTGTATCCACCAGATCAAAAAATTTTAAGTCTAACAATAAAGATACAGAGCAAAAATAATGCTAGTATATTGCTAGTGAAAATGTAAACTGGTAAAACTATAATGATAAGCAATTTGGTAATATCTAGTATATGCACCCCAGCCATTCTCCCCTTAGGTACATACTCTAGGGAGTATCTTGCATGTGTGCACAGAGACAAAGGTTCAAGAATGCTCAAAGAGGTATTATTTTCCACAGCAAAACATGCAGAACCCACATATCCATCAGTAGGAGAACTGGAATATGTCCCTACAATGGCGTCCTACACCACAGCTGCAGTGAATGAGCCAATCGGCCCCCGCTAGCCTGTATCACTCTGCAAGGATGGGAAGAAAAGGCTCACCTCACCCCTCACCCCCCACTCCCCGCTCCAGTGGGCTAATTTAGAAGTCCCCACTGCACACATGCAACCCATCAGGCAGGTGGCCGGGCAAGCCAACGGCCTCTGCAGGAAAACTGATGCTCTAAGTATCAACATGGATAGCTCTCAACAACATAATGCTGAGTGAAAAAGAAACTGCAGAAGCAACTGTACAGTAGGATACCTCATGTAAAGTTTAAAGACACATTAGCCCCAATGTACACTGTTCACTGATACAGTGTAACAAACAGGCATAAGAATGATACAGAGCACAACCAAATTCAGGGCAGGAGTAACGTGAACTAGGAGTACACAGCAGTTTAAACTTACAAAAAAGTTCAGAAGCACATACAGTAAAATACTTAGATGGGACAAAGGTAAAGGTAAGATGTACAGGTGTTTGTTAAAGTCTCTCTACACATTATTTTTGCTTGAAATCTTACAAGAAATACACCAAAGAAGGAAAGCACAGAACTGACTCTTCTGAATGTCAGTAACGTGGAATAGAGAAATTCCCAAAACACAGAACTGAGGGAGGTAAGGGTAGATACAAAGGACAGAGAAGACAGAGGCCAACATACAGGTAAATGACATGCCTGAATAAAAGACCCAGCAAGTAGAACTGTGCATAATCAAAAATATATTACAGGAACTCAAGAGAACTGGGCCTTCAAAATGGAGGTTCACGCGCTGGCCAGTTAGGCTCAGCGGTTAGGGCATCGGCCCACAGTCTGAAGGGTCTCGGGTTCATTCCAGCCAGGGCACGACCTCAGTTGAGCCCCATCCCCGGCCCCAGTGGGGGCACATGCAGGAGGCAGCCAATCGATGTGCTTGTCCTACACTGATGTCTCTCTCCCCCGTCCACTTCTCTGAAAAGCAATGGAAAAATACTCTCAGGTAAGGATCAAAAAGAAATAAAAATTCAGGCAAAATTCATAAAACTAATCCCCAACTTTATGCTACTGAAACTTCTGCCTCCTACACGGCAACCCGGTAGGAGGAAACAGGCTATCGACAAAAGGCAGCAAACAGGTGGTGTCAAAATTCTCTGCACAGAATCCCACTAGTCTAAAATTCTAGGTCATACAGAGAAAAAAACACAGGGAAAGGGAAAGGTAGAAGAATGTTAAATTATACTCACCTTACAGAAGAAACTGAAACAAATGTGTTTTTCTGAGTCAAATATGTCTTGAAGAAATTTTTTGGTTATCCCTAATAAAACCGAAAACCGTGTGTATGCCTTCCTTTCAAAATATAAATGGAGTTTAGTGAGGAGAAAGTCCCTATAGTAGGGACCTGAAAATAAAAGAAATAACAAAAATGGCAAGCACTTTTTTTAATGCAAAAATTAGACCAAATACCACTTTTAATACCAATATAAATAGGTTTTAAGATTATCACAGGACAGTAATACTCAGATTAGGTTTTTTAAAAATCTAAACAGCCTTCTACAAAAGAAACAAATGACTCAAAAAGTTAAAAGAGTAAGAGCCAAGCCAGGCATGGCTCGGCGGTTGAGCATCGACCTAGGATCCAGGAGATGGGGGTTTGATTCCCGGTCAGGGCACACGCCCGGGTTGCGGGCTGCAGC